CACCTTGAATTGGGCCCGGGCTTCAATGGGAAGCCAGTGAAGCTGACAGAGGACTGGAGTCATGTGAGCATAATGCCCCGTCCCCGTCAGCAACCTGGCAGCTCTATTTTGCACCAATTGAAGTGTACAGACTGTATTCAGGGGAAGCCCCACGTAAAGCGCGTTACAGAAGTCTAGGCGGGAAGTCACCAGCGCGTGTGTCACCGTCGCCAGGCAACTTATTATAATAAGTTGCCCAAAATACCAGCACATGTAAGATTTGTTTTTCCCACTTTTTGCTATCTAGATACTAGAATTACCCACTTATTTGCCACAGCTATATAGTACACTCATTGCCAAGAATATCTAAATGTTTTGCTCCATGAAGCACCATGTTTGGCTTCTTCCAGCCTTAGGAGAACTGAGTATGCAGATGTATAAGGAGACATGACTTTCAAGCATCCATGTTTCCCTACAAGTGTTGGAGAAATTCAGATGTGCAAGTAACATAACCAATTCTCCTCTATTTTATGCCATCTGCCTTCTACAACCTGATGTAAGTACTACAGGATCAAGAAACCTGTGATGACAAATGGAAATATTCAGCAATTCATAGAGGTTTTACAAGGACACTCAATGAGGGCGATGAGCCATCACTGAGAGGGGTACCTCTGGATATGGAGAGGAGACCAGATAATATTTTTGCCTAGTCAGCCTTCTAGGTTCTAATTCTGCCTACATGCATGCATGAAGCAGTGGTCCTGCTTATTAACCTTTTTCCTTGGTCAATCTTTTCTGAAGACTGATGGGAGTTAACTGTAGTTTTAGAAAGTTTGTGTTTCGCCAACATGGCTGTGTTTTGGCTTCAGAACAACAAGGTCCAGTTCAGTTCCCCAAATCAATGTCCAGAGCTTTCTCCATATTTGACAGATCGGGGCAGCTGAACCAAGCAGCAAAGCTGTCATTCAATCATTTCCTTCAGGGGCATATGGGTCAGTTCAGAAGCCTGAGCACTATTTCAGCAGCAGCCCCGAAATCCTACATTACAAGCAACATGTGGGTCTTACATAACAAACACGGCTTTTAGTCAAAACCTGAGCTCACAGCAGCTCTCAAGTGTACCTTTTTTAAACTGTACAACTTGCAAAGCTGGTCTAGGGTTGGTTATAAATGCTGACCTATGAGCTGCAAGTCCAATAATTCAAACCTTTTTCTTGGCCATGGATTCACTGGGTTACCTTTCTATACCTTTTAAAAATACTGCTTATTATTATGCTTTGTTTTATATGCTTTATTATGGCTATTATGAGCTGCACATTTTCATTAAAGATGCAACAGATATTAATTCTATTAACTAAGGTTATGAAAATATCAGCTTCCTCAACAATGCATGTCAGAAACAGACTATATGATTAAAAACCTATATAATAAAATAATAAATTGTTCAAACCTCTGAAACATTGACAGTGTAGGGTGGCTTTAACCTCTGAACAACAATTTGTTTATGGTCAAGTTCATAGTGAATATTTAAAGTTGAACAGATGAAATATTATACCTCTTTCACTTGCTTGAAGATGTAGACAAATTCTTCATTTATGGATAAACTGCGATGTTCAATATCTCCCCGCAAATTTCTTCTGGTACGCAAGCTATTTTCTACAAAAAAGGCTGAAAGAGCCTTGAGTGCTTCCAACATTTCCTATAAACATAAACAATATAAATTAATACAGAAACCATGCTGATAATTCACATGCAACATGATTTTTTAAAAAGAAACTCACATCCTCAGATACAATCACATTTTAACATTGCTAACCCATAGGAAACATATTCACTATCAACAGAAGTTGATAGAATTATGCTGCAGTGAACTTATTCAACTCAGTACTTGTGTGCATAGCTTAAACCAGCCATCCCCATCCTAGCATCCTCCAGATGCATTGACTATAACTCCCACCATCCCCAGCTGGCATGACCATTCTTCGGCATCTTTTCATGAAAGATACAGTAGTCTACCAACAACAATGAATAACATCCATTCCTTTTAGGCTACACTGAAAAGTCGGGGATTTTTTGCTTCCCTGTGTTGTGTAGTGCTTAAAGTGCAGGACTGGAATTCAGGAGATCCATGTTCTAGTGACCATTTAGCCATGAATCTCACTGTGTGACTTTTGGCCAATCACTGACTTTCAGCTTAACCTTCCTCACAAGGTTGTTGTGAGGACAAAATGGAGAGGAAGAAGACTATGTTAACTGCCTTGGGTTCCTTGCAAGAGAGAAAAAGGCTGTTTATCAAAGTAATGCAATAACAGTAATGCCTCCAATACATTGCTACAGCACCACTATTAAATCTTTATATTGCATTCTGTGGCTATGGATGTGAACTGTGCTTTGACAGTGGATTTGGGAATTCCCTATGTAAAAGCATGAGTAACCACAATAATTTATGCCTTAGATTCACATTTTTGTAGCATAAAAAACCAGATAAATTATTTTTATAGCAGTATAGTCTATTGATAAATAATTCACTCAGAAATCCTTATTGTTTACTCTAATGAGGTCTACCAGTTGATTCTATTCAGTCCATTACCACTGATTATAGATATAAGCTGTGATTTAATGGTGCATTTGAAGCATCTACATATAAATATAAGGAGGTCTATGAGAAGATTTGTGCATGGGATCCATCACAGTGGTGCCATGAATCTGAGAATTATGCATTATCTTGATCAACACCTTTTTAGTTGAAAATAAGGGAGGAGCACAGCATAAAAATGTTTTCAGGAGCATGTGAAGATTTTCATCTGTTCCCAGTCATTGGCTAGGATATGGGTTGTTTAGCTTAATTGTTGTTGTTCAGCTGTTTAGCCGTGTCTGACTATAAGCAATCCTATGGGCCAAAACTCATCACACTTTTCGATCCCATGCCACCTCTTTCATCTGAACTATGCTCTGGCCCACATCTTCTTTGATGGAGTTTAACCACCTCACTCTTTGGCGACCTGGTTTTCTTTTACCGCTGAGCATTCCAAGCATTATATTTTTTCTGAAGAGCTTGATTGCATAATGTGGCCAAAATACATGCATCTCAGCTTTGTTATCTTGCCGACCAGGGATGCATCTGGTTTAATATGCTCTACCACCTGCTTGTTTGTCACCCCGCCATCCATGGAATGCGCAGGAACTTCCTCTAACTCTACAGCTCAAATGAGTCGATTTTCCTCGTCTAATTTTTTCATTGTCCAACTTTTACAACCATAGGTTGCTATAGGAAAAACGATCTCTTGAACCATCTGCACTTTGTTGCCAAACTGATGTTCTTGTTTTTCCACAGAATTGATGCTTGTCATTGCCATACAACAATGACAAATTTGTCACTTCATGTCTGATAAGCTTAATTACTGATGTTTTATTGGTTATCAGGTGATAGTATTTTAATAGATAGTTGTTGCAGCTCTTTTAATTTGCAGAGAAGGGTAATTCTTTCAAAAGACACTATGACTCTTAATATGGTGAAGTCATCTAATGGAATGACCCTATGACCCTAGTCATTGACTGACGATCTACAGAATAGTTCAGATTCCCACTCACATGAGAATCATAAGTCCAGCCCCCCTCCCTGGCACCATGTCTGTGGGCACGGAAACAACCATGCTGCTTGCTCTCTGAAGTCGAGATCAAAGAGGTTCAAGGAGGTGTTTGCAAGGATCGAAAGGAGAACGGACCAACCAGGAAGCTGCTCACGCATCCGTCCCTGCCCATCTAGATAGGCCTTGTACAACTTCTGTCTAAACACGCACAGGATTGTGCCCCAACTAATATAAGGGGTCCCGAGAGGCTCTCGCTTGAGAACCGTCCCTATTTTCGTGCGCGAAGATGCTGCAGGGGCGGCTCATTCCCCCCTCCCGCCTTGCGGAGGCCACACAGAGCTTCCGCGGGGGGGGGGGTGCATTAGAAGTGCCCTCCCAAGATTCGCGGGCCCAACCCTAGGAGGAAACGCGTTGGGCAACAAGCGCCCCAGAAACGCCTGTCAGGAAGGGAAGGGGCCTGCAAGCCCACCTGCCCTGCCCGCTCACCTTGTCCGCCTCCAGCCGCGTCTCCAGCACTTTGCGGAGTTTGCGCGACAGCGGGTTACTCCCGGAGCCCCCCGCCAAGCCCTGTGACGACGACGACGACGAGGCGAGGGAGATGCCCGCCGAAGAAGCAGCCGCGAAGGGCTGCGGCAGACGCGGCTGCGGCTCCTCGGACATTGCCGCCATTTCCTCCCCTTTCCCCGAGGCTGCCGTGGCGGCGGCGGTGGCAAAGGCGGCGCCGTCGCCCGGACCAGGAGTGCTGGCGAAACTGTTCCCACCGGCCCTTCGTCCGGGGAAGTTCGTTCCGCCCAATTCTAATCCAACGAGAAAATCGCCAGAGCTGGACCATATTTAAAGCGTTCTGTTTAGCTATGGAGCGGTATAGAAATTTAATAAAGGAAGTGAATGATTAGGCGTGTACTGGAGAATTGCTATTTCTGTGAACCACAGGGTATCGGTTCCGGTTCCGTCTCCTCAAAAGCATGTAAGAATAATCGTTATTATTCGTAATAATGATTGAATAATGAAGCGTCTAATAATCATAAACATTTAACTTTATTTGAGTGATTTGAACGCAATTGAGACTTTTATTATTTAACATTTGGGTTCTGCTCTTTTTCACTACCAGAAATTTTCGTGTCTGCAATTTTATAATTATTGCATTGCATATATGTCCTGCCCATTTTTTCTCTCTTTAATGAGGAGCCCATAGCTTCATTCATAGCTCCAGCTTATCCTCACAACGACCACAACCCCGTGCAGCAGGTTGCTGGTCAAAAGTCAGAGGTGAGCTTCACTGCCAACTGGGGACTAGAACCTAGATCTCCCAGGTCCCCAGGCTGACACTCTAACCATGATGCCACATGGGTTCTCTAAGTACTGCATTTGCGTTATTCAGAAGTTGATTAAAATAATAAGAGTGTTGCAGTATGCCTGCCCAAGTTGGCACTGGCTCACCGAAATGTAAGTTCTGAGAAACATACTTGTTTTTGAAGTGTGAGAAATGAAATGTTACTGTTACTAAGTGTTAAGGTGAAATACAGGAATACGACAGGATCACTAAAGTCTCTTAAGGCCAAAAAGCCTGAGAATCAAAACATGTAAACAGTTGTACTAATAATGTCTCTTACTTCAAAGTCCTGAAAAATGTCAGGAGGGGTAAAATTGGGGGACAGTGGTAAAACTGTCACCTTCAGTGGAGGA